GCCTTTCCCTTGGTCTTAACCACCTTCATAGGTGCATTTGGTGGGGAACTCAGGAACACCTTCCTATAGGAGGTGGGGATGGCCCTATCTTTGCTGTCCATTCATAAGACCTTTCTCTAGAAGAGTTTTTGAGAAATGCAGTAGACTGTAGTTTTAAATGAGTGTGGATTAGCTTGAAACAACACAGTAATATATAAGCAGTTCTTGCCCTAGCGTGAACCAAAGCAAAGCAGAACAACAACAAAAACTTGAAAAAGAACAGTTTTTGTCCTGCTTTCACTCTGGTGACACTGGTTTAAGCCCTGTATTGTGCGCATGATGGGATGCAGTACTGGTGTCATGGGTGGAAAGAAAGTTGACACAGGGTGCACGAAAAAGGCTAATGGCTGCTTTGGGGGATAGAAATGTGAATAATAATTTTTCGTTGTTATTTTTGATTTAGTTAGTTAATTTTTTTTTACCCAACCTTTCTCCTAAAAAGACCCAAGGCGGCTTGCATAATTTAAAACACAATATTAAATGCTAAACACAATATATTATTCAAATCACTGTACTTTCACCTAACATTTTTAATGTAATGTTATCAATTCTTTTAAAATGCTGAAAATGTTAGGTGAAAGTCCAGGGATTGCTTACTGCCAAGTCTCAGTCCTCGTAGAATCATAGAATAATTGAGTTGGAAGGGCCTATACACCCACCAGGTCCAGCTCCCCGCTCAATGGAAGAATCCAGATCAAAGCAGATCTGACAGATGATTGTCCAATTTTCTCTTGCATGCCTCCAGCATAAGCATTTGCCTCCTCCGGAGGTAATTGGTCCCATTGTTATATTGTTCTAATGGTTAATAGGGTTTTTTTCCTAATATTTAACCTAAATCTAGCTTCCTGTAACTTGAGTCCATTATTATCTGTCCTGCACTCTGGGATGATTGTGAACAGATCCTGTCTCTATCTGTCCTGCACTCTGGGATGATTGTGAGCAGATCCTGTCTCTTCTCTGTATGACTATCTTTCAAGTATTTGAAAAGTGCAATCATATCTCCCTGCAGTCTTCTTTTCTTGAGGTTAAATCCTTGAGAAAATCCTAAACCTGAATCCTGTGGACAGCCAGATAAGTTGCTTGATATTCCGTAAGCTTAATGGAATTCAACCAATTTGTGTCCTGCAGCTTATGGTGGCCATAGAGCCAATTCAGGACCTTGTGTTATAGAACCAGGACTGAAGAAAGAGAATGAGTAACAGCAACAATTCAGTGTAAATCACAGTCAAAAACATTACAAGAAAGGGCTGAGGCTCAATGACTCAGATCAGAGCATTGTTTTGGCTTTAGTCTTGACAAAATGGAAAGTACCATTGTTAGATTTCACAATAATTTCAGACTAAGGAATGCACAAACTTGAAAGATTATTCACATGGCCAGTTTTTGCATGTTGATTATATAATGCCACTGAAACTTGACTTTTTCTGGTGATACTGGCTTGCAGTGCAATCATACAAGTCTAACTAGGCAATCCTCCTCCTCTGCCACCTCATCCCCATCGAGAATTCCATTTCCGGAAGAACAATTTGTTGGGAGTTTCATGTTTGTTTGTTTTTCTGTCTGCCTATCCAGCTTGACACGTAACCTTTCAAAAAGGCGCTCACTACATCACTAATTATTTCTAGGCACCCAGGTTGTCAATTTCGTCACTTTGATCATGCAACCAGATTTTGATGTTCTGCCAGCATGGCCACCATGTAGCCCAGCACCCCTCAGATCCCTTAACACACTCGCATTTTAATTTTTTGCTGGGAAAAAGACTCAAAAAGTCTTTTAGCACATAATTGTATTCAAATGAATGTGCTTCAAGACTAGCTTGCAGATCTTGTGACTTCCAAGGAATTGAGGGGGAGGGCAATGTGATACATTTTGAAAAGTCTACCCCCACACACACACACATATTCCCAACTCTTATTTTTTTAATTTTTTTAGTCAGTAAAGATACAAGGGTAATTTTCCAGCAAACCTCCTATGGTTTCTTTTTTTAAAAAAACTGTTGAGAGTCGGGGGTTGGGGGTGTCACAAGAGTGAATGTAACCCTCCAGGATCTAGGAATGGCTGTGTATGGCCTCTGGGCCTCTGGAGCAGATATTCTCAACCTTTTGGGGCCATGGCCATAAACACAATACAGTGGTGCCTCGCTAGAAGCTAATCTGGTCCACTGAAATCGCTGTTTAACAAAATCATCATATAGCGAAAAGCATTTCCCTATTGGAATGCATTGAAACCTGTTTAATGAGTTCCAATGGGGAAGAATCGTCATTGTCTAGCGAAGATCAGCCATAGGAAAGCCCACTTTCCAAACGGCCAATCAGCTATTAAAATAGCTGTCTTGCGAACCTGTTTTGTGAGCACAGAGGGAGCGGTCAAAATCGTTGTCTAGCAAAAATTGGTTTGCGAAGCAGGGACTGAACATTGTCCAGCAAAATTCCCCCATAGGAATCACTGTTTTGCGAATCGCTATAGTGATCACAAAAAGTGAATGTCTAGCGAAAAAACTGTCACACGAGGTAACTGTCTAGCGAGGCACCACTGTACAAAAAATATAGGCCGAATCAGGATTGTATAAGTAGCATAATGAACCTTATAAGGTGGCATGTGCAGAATTGTTTCCAGTCTGTGATCCCCTTCAAATATGTCTGGAGGCCCTGGGGAGGGGATATGCTCCCCCCCCATTGACAACGGCGTCTCTACAGAATGCAAGCCCCTACTTTACACATTGGTACTGTGTTGCAGTATTATTGTCACAGGCTCAAAAAATACAGGGAAATAGTCCTAGCAGTTGAAAAATGACTAATCCTGATGTGTGCCTTATGAATATTTATAGAAAATAAAAACAGCAGGATACTTAAATATCAAATAAATTTATTGTCTTTGTAAATATATAACACACACACACACACACACACACACACACCCAATGAAATACTTGCCCTGACGCTAAGGACTGACATGAGAATAGTAGGCATATTCCTGTCAAAATACTTCAGAATGCCTTAACATTCTTGTAAAAAGTAAATTACTTGTTGTGACTAAAAAGGACCATTTCAACTATTTGTTACTGTAAGTTTGTAATAACTCACTACATTGTTCGTTTCTGAAAAAGCAACTGCTTGCAAGTAGTTATGTTAATTCCAAGCTCAGGTTCTCCTATGATAAGGCTCCCAAGAGCACAGCCGTCCCTGTTAAATGCGTGTGTGCCTTGCTGAAGGTGTGATGGGAGCACGTGGGATGCAGGTTATTTGTGTCCTCACCTGGGTGCTATCCACTGAGCCCCACACGGATCCAGGAATTCATGCGGAACAGGGCTCCCCTATCTCTTCCCCGGTGCCATTCCTTCTCTCATTTTTCCTTGCCCGAAGCCCCTTTTTTTCCCTCCTGTCTCTTTCAGATCCTTCTTTTCTTTACTCTCTGTCATTCTGAGTGTCCCTTCTTTCTCTTTCTTCCTCCTTGCACAGTGAACTGCTGTAGAAAGAACAGACTGCTGTTGCCAGAGGTCTGAACTGACATTGCTTGCAGAGGGCTCTTAAAATTAAAGTAAGGGACATGGGTGGCCAATCCCTGTTACACATTTCTACTCAGAAGTAAGTCACATTGAGCTCAGCGGAACTTATTCCCCGAGTAAATGGGCACAGAATTTCAACCTTGGAGATGCCCCTAAATGCTTTTTGATAGCAGGGCACAATGTCTTGGGGATAGTTAGGAATCTGGGGTGGTGAGATATGCTCTTCATGTATAAATGTATGCAATATCATTTCGTGTGTGAACATGGGAACGTAACCCAGTCATTAATAATCACTAGGGAAAGGACCCAGCTATGCCACTATGCCACCACCAACACTCCAGTGCTATTTCTCTTCTCCATCCACAACCACTTCCTTGCTAGTCATCCTGTTCTTCCATCCCAGCCCCAACCATCTTCTCCCGGGTTAGAAATCTTTCAAACTCTTCTTGCTTTTTCCCTACTTATCTCTTCTCTCTCCCCACTTTCTTGGTGGTCTTTTTATCCCTTTCCAATGCTTATTCAGCGTTCTGCTCCTTCAGCTCTCTTGCTATCCTTGCCAGGCAGCAGAAGTCTCTCTCTTTCATTCTCTCTCCCTCTTCCTCCCCCCCTCGAACCCCCCACCCACCCATGGTTCCCATATTTTTGTTCCTTAATCCAGGTGATCATATTTGCCTTGAGTTTTTGGAATAATCGTGCAGATTTTGTGATAGGTCATGAAAGGGTGGACCAGTGTGTACGAGTGCACATACATAATAAGATTGGGTGGTCTTTGGGGGGTTTTTTTGGATGGAATGCAGAGCTATGACTCAGTGAGTTGGAGCACCTGGCTGCACAGCCAGAGGCCAGGAGTTCCGATCCCCACTGTGCCTCCCAAAGAGGAACCATCTGATATCACCCAGGGCATGTGTGCCTGATGGGCTTAATGTGCCTGGTTACCTATAGAGCCATGGCCAAGATGCACATTGTCAGTGCCACAAGGAAGGACTGATGGACTACGTCTGTGTACTTCACATGTAGAAAAACTAGAAAGTGTTGCTATAAGTAGGAGTTGGCTTGGTGACACATAATTATTATTATTATTAATGCAAGGATGCACAACATGCAGCCTCAAGTGTTTCACGCATGTCCATGCCTTTTCTTTGCCACCTTTTTTTTCCTCTTGGTGCCCTTGTGCCTCCACGTGCTGCACAATATGCATATATTGAACAGGTACCCCTTTCCCAGGAGTAGGGATTCCACAAAGAGGGGGATTTGCACGAGGCGTCCAAAATTACCCAGCGGTGCCTCTGTTGAGCCTTATGCTCACATCCTGCCTACAAAATCAAAATAATCAACCGTGCTGTGTTTAACCCTTCTGGCATAAGGCTCTTCTTTGAAAACCTTGCAGATAACTCCACCCATGCCTCTGACTGTGGGCTCCTCATCTCAATTGTATTTGATCCTTTTTGTTGTTTAGCCTGCTCCTGCCATCCTATGGGCTCAGTCAACATCACCCTGAACCCGAATTGGAAATGCCATCCAAAGACAGGATTCTGCTATTGCAAGCCAGGTGTTGCAGGCCCCCAGTGTGACAGATGCCTCTTGGGGTATTGGGGCTTTGGGGAAAATGGATGCCAGCCTTGTGACTGTGCTAGAGACTGTGACAAGCATACGGGAGAATGTTTGAATAGGTAAGCAACCTCCATTTCATGAACTGATTCTTACTTCTGGCAAAACTGTTACTCTGGATAAGCATAGTGTTGCATACAGTTGGATACTGCGGATTTGTTTTATAGACTTGCAGCTAGGCAAGTTGCTTTTTTAAATTTAATTTGTTCTGGAACTTGGTACAAAACCAAAGAAGTAATTTGTTACCAGAAACTTTACCAAATGCCTATACAATGAGTTCATGATGGACCATTCATGTTTCCCCCCCTCATTTTGCTGTGCAACCTGGTTCTTATAAACGTTTAGTGCTTAATGTTCCTTGTGAAAACTTTGGCCAAGGATACATCACCACTAAACATTGCATCCTATAATATTACACTCTGTTACTCCTCTTTTCCTTCTCTGATTTCCAGTTTTGACAGTCAAGCTTTTTTCAATATTCCTATTGGTGGGAGAATCCCTGACCTCATTCATACACCAGCCAATGGCAGTGAAGATGACTGGCAATGGAATAACAATGAACAGGGGTTTTCTGCTCTAAGACATCCAGGTATGAATTTATTTTGTTTTTTTCTTTTCCAAGCAAAGGAATGTAGATTAGCAATGGATCATTCTTACACTTTATTGGAACATTTCAGGTTTACAAAGTACTTATGGAAGTATTCGTAGCTTTATTTATACAACGCTAGCCAAGGATATATATTCTTGGACCTTCCATGACAGAGATTTGTTTCAGAGCTTAAATATACCTTTAAAGGTATATTTGCCTGTAAAATGTGTATGTTTCCCAAACAGACGTGACAAGTAAGCATGTTTAGGGATTAGGTATGTTCACTTAACCTGAATATCTGGACCTTATGCTTGTTCTTGAGGTTATGGGAAACCATGGTGGTATAATAGTTAAGAGAATTGGATGGGACTATGGGAGGTTCTGATTCAAGACCCAGCTGATATATGGGGTGGCCTTGAGCCAGTCATTGTTTTCCAGCCTGACCTAACTCATGGGGTTTAAAGGGTCTTGAGGTTATGGGAAACCATGGTGGTATCATAGTTAAGAGAATTGGATGAGACTATGGGAGGTTCTGATTCAAGACTCAGCTGACATATGGGTGGCCTTGAGCCTGTCATTGTTTTCCAGCCTGACCTAACTCGTGGGGTTTAAAGGATTAAATGAGTATGCCACCTTGTGCTCACTGGAGGACAATCGGAATATACAGTGCATGCAAAAAAATGAATAAATAGGATGTTGTCTTTAATCATTCAAGGGTATACGTAGACCGTGGCATACCATGATAGGTAATAGGCATCCTGTACACAGGTGCTGTTACCAGAGTGAAGGACTAGGAGTTGGGAGATCTGGGTTTGAATCCCTCCCTGGCCAGTGTGTGTGTATGGAACTGGTAACATCACTTCTTAAATATCTCATTTACTTTAAGAGCCCTATTAGGGCCACTATAAATTGAATGTGACTTAATGACAGATAGCAGATCAAGTGTGTATTTGGTATGGGAATTTTCATATGTCTTGGACTTCATCTTCTACAACTGAGAAAGAATTCCCTCAGCTAGAATTTTGAGTGCTGTAATCAAGAAATCAAAATTCTAGCAGGTGTTTTCAAGTTCTTAGAGGTGGCTACTCAAGGCTCCGGCAGCCATTTTCATCCTGGGGAGAAGACAGGGGAATTGGTGTGCAGAGCTAAACTCCATGGGAGCTGCAAGGAATTTGGGACCTGGTAGTTTTTTTTTGAGAGGTTTATTTTGCCAAGCCTACCAGACCTCCAATTCCAGAAACAGAATCTTAATGAGGCAGAGTGCATCTGCACTGCGTTGTTATAACAGTCTAGTCCCACTTCATCTGCCATGGCTCCATTCTGTGGAATTCTTGGATTGATAATCTGATTGGGTTCATGTCCAGATATTTGAATAAACAGTCTAGTCCCACTTCATCTGCCATGGCTCCATTCTGTGGAATTCTTGGATTGATAATCTGATTGGGTTCATGTAACTTCATTCCATCACCAAATGTCCAGATATTTGAATGAGAGTGTGATGTGCACAGCTGGTTGGGTAGCTCATTGAGCTGAGTACCTGGCTGTGGAGCCAAAGGTTAGGAATTTGATTCCCTAATATACATATCTCCCAGAACAAGAGCTACCCAGGGTAGCCTTGGGCAAGGTGCACATTCCCAGAGTGCCCCCAGAAAAAACAAAAACACATTTGACTACTCTACGCCTAGAAAACCTGGATGTACAACAATGACTCAGTCTCCTTCTTGCTCCCACTCCCTCTTTTCTCAATATGGTCCTCATCTTTCCATACACTGGCCTGTGATTCCCTGACTAGAAAAGTGTGTGTGCAAGGAAAGGATACTAGGAAGTGTCAGCAGTTTCTGCCAGATGAAATACGCTTACGGTAAGTGCACCATCTTTTCTCATTTAAATGGGGCAACCAATTGAGGAGCTTTTTTCCTGTCTCTTCACGTCTTCCAAAAATATGGATCAACGCATTTTGAACTCTGCGTGGTTCTAAACTCTCCCATGAATCGAGAGTAGGCAACACATCACATAGGCAATATTGACTCTTTCAAGGTTGCCCCGTATTAATGGGAGCAAATGAACCCAGCTCTGCGCTCTGCCTTGTAGTGAGCCTGACCATTTGTCCATCTCACCCAGTCTTGTCTACCCCAGTGGTTCTCAGCCAGCATTTTGCCTACCACTGTTGGGACACAAAAGCAGTCTAGGAGGAACATAAGGCTACCCATAATACTTATCTAGAATTTCCTATCCCTCAATCCCAATGTCCCTTGCAGGTGTGACAGGCTGTTTCCTATTGACCTTACCAGACCTTGATTATCCGTCTGAGGCATTTTGGCACACAAGGAGTAACTCTGGACACACTAGAAATCTTGTTGCTTTGCAAATCAAGTCACAACTATAGGAGACCCATCAAATCAATGGAGTTTACAGAGGAGTTGATTCACCAAATGTCTACTGAATAAGTGGGCCTCCCCTAGTTACAACTTACTATGCTTAAGCAGCGGGATTTCAGACTCTGTATATAAAAAAATAGGGGCAAAGAGTTGTAACACCTCAAAAACTAAGAGATTTATTTCAGTGAGAGCTTTTACTTCTTCGGACTATATGATTCCCAGGCTATCTCACCGGCCACCTAAAAGTCCTCCTTAGCTTCAGCAATAGAACTGCATCATCATATTCCTACTCGTCCCGCAGGGTAGGGCTTGGCCAGTGAGAGACAGAGAATAAGGAGCTCCACAGACTTTACTTGGCTGAACGATAAATTCAACATACTGGCACCATGGTCTGCTTATGTCTCCAGGCAAATACCACTTGCTGAGAGGCAGAGGAGGATTCACCCAATGGTTCTGAGAAATGCTTGACACTCTGTTGCACACCTCAGCCTTAGGTCTTTTCAGATCTCTCTCCCACAGTTGCTGTTTTGAAACATTGAAACCTTCAAAATCTCACTTTTTAGGTTGTCATCTGGAGTATGAGTGGGCAAACTCCAGAAGGCCACATGTACCTACCCCTAGATCTTGGAGGGCCTCTCCCATCCCCAGTCCCCTACAAATGTTTTAAGCAGCCTTTTTATGAATTGAGAAGGTCTTTTCGCACCCTCCAGTGGCCATTCTCTTTTTCTAAAATCACAGTTCTAAAATCACAAACTAATTGTGATTTTCTAAAATCACAATTAGTTTCTTCTTCCTCTTCCTCTTCTTCTTTTTTTCTTTTGCAGTGTGTGGGAGTTCAGAGTTGCTGCCCTCAATACATTGCTTATTACACACCCTGGAAAAAGGCCATCCATGGGCCACACTTTGCCCCTCCCTGATTTCAGTGAACCCTCTGTGTGCCACTCAGTCTGTGGAACCCTCCCTGAAAGTTATGATCCATTCTCACTCGCGGCTTTTAATAAAGGGGTGAAGAAGACCCAACTCTTGAATCTGGCCTTTTAAAACTGTTTCACTGATTTCTGTTATGATTTAAATCGTTTTGCTTGTTGTGTAAAAGGTTTTAATGGTGTTACTGTTTAATCTTTCTTAATCTGTAACGTATTTTTGTTTGTTTTAATTATGTCTGTTAAATGCCTTGAGCACTGTCTTTTAATGAGAAAACTGTATCAATGTAATTAATCCGTACTATTACTACTACTTCTACTGCTGCTGCTACTACTACCACAGCTACTAAGGAGAGCCAGTGCCATGCAGTGGATAGTGTCAGACTACTAATTCAAACCCCCCACTTGACTATAGATAAGGGTGACAGTTGTAAAAACAATCTATAAATATTTCACATTCCTCAGAAACCCTACTAGGGCCACCATAAGTCAAAATCAGCTTGACAGCATGTAAAACATATTACCAATAAGATGCTCAGAAACCAAAATTCTGTGTGCGATCTGAAAAGGCAGGCAGTCATGCTAATAAAGAGGTGTTACATCTCAGATAGCAATTAAAATAATACTGTGGGTAAAATTACTCATACTAGGCTGCATATTTTCTGGCAGTGATAAAAGCAAAGATCCTCTCCGCTCATGACAAAGGAACCCATGCAGAAGTCATTGTGAAGGTAAAGAAGATTCTGAAGTCGGGCAGAGTGAAAATCAGCAGGAGTAACAGAAGCATCTATCCAGAGTCCTGGACTAACAGGGGGTGTACGTGCCCTATCCTTAACCCTGGTAAGTTCTTTGCATTGAAACACTGGTTCTGTGTGGAGAGGATATGGCCATGGATTTCTTAAATAAGGAGCCTCATCTACAGAGATTTTGCTATTTGACAAAATCCCATCAGGGCTTTGTAATTTAATGTTTGAAATCCAGTCGTAACTGAAGCAACTAGAGTGAGCCCATGACATCAATAGTACTTACAGAAAAGTTGGCTCACCAGATCACCACTGATTCAGGAGGCCTATCGTACTTGCAACATACTGTTGGATTTCAGCCACTGTTTGAACAGCTCTGTAGACATAATCCAGCCTCTTCTGCACATGACAAAGGATTTGTGGAAGGCTCCACATAGAATACATTGCATCTTTATTCTCCCCAGGCCTGCCACTCTGGTATGTTGCTTTGAACTGGACATGATGTAATTGTGGCAAGTCATTACTAGCAAGGTCTGGACTTTGGAACCCTTTAAATATGCCACATCTATATATTTGTGTTCTCTGAACTCCTGTGCAAAGAGCAGGGGCCACAGCGCAATGGCAGAGCACATGTTTTATATACAGGAGGTCCCAGGTTCAATTCCTGCCATCTCCCATTTATTGCTTACTTACTAAATATATGCCACCCTCTCTCAGAAATAGGACAAAGCAGCCAATAGTAAAACATGCAATTTAAAAGATTAGGTAGTCTCAAGAATTAACTTCTCCAAGCTCTAGTCATAGAATAAGTGGTATTGTTTTCTACCTGCTTCTTTTCAATTGACTTGGTGTATTTTGTCACTAAATGCACGATGCCTTATAAGTCCCTTCCTTTGTAAACTGAAGCCTGAGAACTAACTTTGGACTACATCTTTCATTCAAGACAAAGTAACCAAAGAATGAAGTGGTTTAATAACTTCTCGGTTCCATTAGGGTTAGGATAAGCAAACATAAGCCATCAAAGGTCACTGCTGCCTTGTGCATGCATCTTTCAATCAATTACTAACAGATAAATTTCTGGTGCTTTTTAGTCTCGAGACTAAATTAAACATTCATCCACATCTACTGAAAGGAAGTGTTTTGTCTCAAATGTAAAGTTTACAACCTAGTCAGTCACCATGATTAACATGAGAAGCTGCTCTCTGTGAAAGCCTATCGTTCTCCTTCATTGTGTTCCTTGAAGGCCCTGTTTAGAGTTTCCATTTTCTAAACCCTGTAAACTAAGACTGGAGATGGACAATGGCATTTTCAAGAGAACTGAAGGCAGTTTGAAGGGAAAATGGCTGCTCATGGTGCATGTGTAGACGTTACTCATCCATCTTTTCACCTATTATAAGTAGGTTTGGCAGGTTCTTGATTTCTTTCAAAAACCTGCAAAACCAATTAGATGAGAGGTGACAGTGGGACAAAAGAAATGAAGTGAAGCCCCTCTTAACCCACTTTCAACTCGCTTAAATTGTGCGTTTCCAGCCTGCCATTAGCGTTGCCAACCTTTGACCCCCACCCCAGTCGTCTTCCCTTTAAGCGACAGTTTAAGAGCAGTTAGTAGCTGGTGATCTTCATCCCATGAAAAGTAGACCTCCATAACATTTTGGGGGCAATGGATATTTGGCAAAACCATTTTTGCAATGTTAGATGTATTTTGGGAAAGGAAGGTCAATGTAAAAAGAAAGAAAGAATCTCAGAAGTGGTGCTGGTCTTCCCATGACATTTCAGGTGGCCAAGGTTTTATTTTTATTTTTTTTAACCAGCTGAACTCTCCTCTTTCTTCCTTCATTGGCTGTGTTTCATGGAACAGTGACACTCTTCCCTGGCACCTTGTCATTCCCAGGAACATTCCTGAGCTGGGAAAAGATGGGTAATTCTCTGATTTCTGCATAACAGATAGAGCCAGGCTGTGATTTATTTTTATTTTATTTTTATTTTTTAGACAGTCCCCAGTGGTTGCAGTTCATTTTTTAATTTCAGTTTCATTTCTTTATGTATCTACTTGGTTTTATTCCATTCATGCCAGACTAAACCCTGGTTTGAAGGGGCCCTGAGATGGACAGGTGTCCAACTTTCTAGAAGATAGTTCACTGCGTGCAAGATTGCTCAGCGCAATTCCAGTTTTAAAAGAAACAAAAAAGAGAATGTTCTTGGTGTAGTCTATCAATACAGTACTGTACTTATTACTGGGAGGGGGGCTCAAGGTGGCTCACAGTGTGCAAAAAAACCGCCCACAAAAACAGGCTGAGCAGGCACACTTAACATAGTTGATATGTACTGGATTGCAATTTAAATCATACTTATCCTTTCTAAATTTGCATTTGCACATATCGGTTGGCATATTGCATGTATTTCCTCTTCTTTCCTTCCTTCCTTCCTTCCTTCCTTCCTTACTTACTTACTTACTTACTTACTTACTTACTTTCTGTCAGCAAGGCATATGGATGTCCTGGGCATGTGGTGATACCCTTCTCCTTTCTGTGCACTGATAATGCAGGAGCTTGAACTCACATGTATCCAAGTCAAGCCGAGCCAAAACGGGATTGTCTGTCCTGTGTACTACATCTTTACACCACAGACGTATGGATCAGAGACCTGGAATACTGAAATTTAGTTATATATATGTTGACATGCCATGCTTTAATCTGTTTTTGGCTATGCACACATCCCCTCTCTTCCTCATTAATATGCACAGAGTATTACTCCCTGTTCCCTTTTGTTTGTGTGTGTGTGTATGTGTTGTTTGTTTTGTTTCAGCAAGTGGAATGGTATCTTTGGGAAAGGATGAGGAAACAATCCACTTTTGCCCCTGTTCATCCTGTCCTGGCAGGGCAGTCGCCACCCGAGCGTTCTGCTGTGTACAGCAGTCTGGCTCCTTGCCCAACCATCTCTGGGCCTTTGTCCTGGCCTGTTGTTCCCTGGCTGGTGACAGGAAGTCCGTATCTAATCTCATGGCCTTAGAGCTCAGTCATGAAGCCTGATTTATGTGGTATCGCAGTGGAATTGCAGTATGGATTGAAAAAAAATATGAAAACCCTTTTGTCTCTAATGGAAAGATAAGAAATTCAGAAACTACTTTTTTAAAGATAGCCACTTTTGTCTCCACACCCTGCAGATACAGCTGAATCAGCGAGGTCATCCAGCAGCATTGTTTGACTGGACATTCAAAAGGGAGCATAAACAAATCCTCCCATCTCAATTGATTTGAGGCAGAGCTGGGGAATGTGCGTGGCATTTCACTTGTTCCCATCATACCACACCCCTCATAGGCTATGTTGGCTAGGACTGTTGAGAATTTCAGCATCAGGAAGGCTAGAAACATTTTCAAGCCCTGATATAGGGAGTGAAATTCTTTTATCATGGTGAGTGTAGGGGTAGGAGGCACCTCGTGGCAGAGTGATTCAACTGCAGTACTGCAGTCAAGACTCTGCTCTTGACCTGACTTAGATTCTAATGGGCTCAGGTAGACAGCTTGAGGTTGACTCAGCTTTCTGTCCTTCTGAGTTAGATAGATTGAGTACCCAGCTTGCAGGGGGTGGAGGCAGAATGTAGCCTGCATGATTAAATTGCAAACTGCCCAGAGAGTACTTTAAGTGTTGTGGGACAGTATATAAGCAGCATGCTTTGCTTTGCTTTGCCTTAAGAAAGTGCATAGGCATGCATGCAGATGTTGCTGTTCCTGTACTTGTCCTTTATTCTTTCTCTGCTGATCCTAATAGACCTCTTACCTTTAGTAATAAATAGCTGCTCTTCTGCTCTCCTCTGCAGCTGTTCTCCTATAGGGAAGACGGCAGCTGACACCTATCATCTACTCTTGCTAGTTTTCAGTGGCCTGAATGACAGAACAGTGGTGTCCAAGACACCAGGGTCCACTGACTGTGTGTTCTGTTCAGGACTGTTTCCATCTATTTTTCATGGTCATTGGCTCAACTCCCACAGCAGAATGAGGCAAATAGTGTAAACCCACAACTGAACCTTTTGATATTCCACCACACTATGAGAGTTCCTAAACAATTACAGTTATATAGGAATTGAGTTACCCCTTGTTAGGTAACAATCATAATGTGTATACCTTTTGCTATTGGGAGAACAAATTAACTCGAAGTAGCTAGTTGCTTATATCTGGTTACTTCCATCTTCTGCCCTGTACTAATAAGTTCCTGGATGAGACTGCCAGGTTTGGCTACACCATCCACAATGTACAGGCGGCACATCTGTTATTATTGTCAAAGATCCAGCTGTTCACCTGGTACTCAGGCAAAGGGATAGCTCATGTTGAAGTCAGACTCTCACTCTTTTGCCTCTTGTGACTTTGGGGTTATGGAACAAATCCTTCTACTTTCCAGAGTAGGGATTAGTCCTGTTCTCTTCATGCCACAAGAGTTAATGCTTCGTTTTCCATCCAGAATGATGGGGAGGGTGGGAGAAAGGTAGCTCTGTTCTTACCTTTTGAGGAAAATGCCTTTAATCTGACAAACACAGAGACTTTATTTCCTAGATCCATCCAGAAAGTTGTAAAAAGATCTGTATTGTCAAAATCTCTCTCTCTCTCTCTCTCTCTCTCTCTCTCTCTCTGTGTGTGTGTGTGTGTGTGTGTGTGTGTTTGAGAGAGAGAGATGCATTGTTATACTAGGAAAAATACAGAGTTGCCATTTGTTACATCTAACAGCCATCTTGGTTTAGCTGCAGTGCACATGCAGATTAAGCTGGCCCCTTTAGGCAGCTCTGAAGCCAACTAGAATACTAGAGCACTGTAATAGCTGTGTTTATTTTGTTCCTCAACAGAAAACATTGAGCAGCCATGTAGGCCTTTTTTGTCTTGGCAGGTTTTCTCCTGGAGGAAGGGAGGTAGGCAAGTGCTTTGGATTCAAACATTCTGTTATGGACACCAAATCGTTGGGTGCTGCTGATGTTCGTAGAGAAAATGAAACACAGTCACCTTTAAAATGGAAATTAATTGCTGCTTCCATTATAAATTACACATGCATACACAGTAATTTTGTGATTTCACATGCATCAGCGGCAGCCTGGACTGATCAAATATCAGCGTTCGGTTAGACTTTCAGAATTTGGTTAGACTTTCAGAGTTCCTCATCAAACACTCCTGAGCAAACTATACATTCATGGGAAGAGTAGTGGTTCTTTTATCTATCAATTAGAGTTATTCCTTCCTTCCTTTACTTTCTACCCTACCTACCTCCCTACCTACCTACTTACCTACCTACCTACCTACCTACCTACCTACCTACCTACCTACCTACCTACCTACCTACCTACCTACGCTCCCAGAATTTTGGGAGTCCCTGCCCACAGACATACACCTGGGAATTGCAATCCAATAACTTTTGGTGATCCAAGGTTGGGAACTACTGTTCTAGAAGGATAGCCATGTTAGTCTGTAATCTATTCGAACAAAAACAGGGAAGATACTTGTGCCATTTTAACAGATTATTTAACAGATTGTAGCAGATAAGGATTTGTAGACTGTTGCCATCTATTCCAAGAAAACCTATATGGTTACAAGTGTTCTTTATTGTATTTATCATTTATGGTAGGTTTTATGGACAAATAATCACACTAGTTTTGATGGGAGTAAACAGAAACTAAAATGAAAATTCCATTAGTAGAATACATAACAACTGCATTGTTCCACTCTCACAAGGACATTGGGATGGAGTGAGAGCAAATTCTTAGTGATTGTCATGAAAAGCACACTTCCACGCCCTCCAGGTTCTTGGGCTTCCAGCTGGAGCAATCGATATTTAGAGAAGTACTCTAATATTTTTTTCCAAACCTTTTTCCAAACCAGGTGTGGACTATCTGATAGCAGGACAAGAGGACACGCGGACCAATAAACTCCTTGTGAATATGAACAGCCTGGTGAAGCCCTGGAAAGCTCATTGGGGGAAAATCGTAGCTGACATGCTTCGAACTGGATGCAAATAATACTTTCGTTCAAAGTGGAAGTCATGAACTTTACACATCTTAGTACTATTGCAGTGGAAGGCCTAGTTAGTTCTCTTACTGTCCATCAAGACATTCCCAGCTAAAAAGCATTTAAAAGCAGATTCACGTTGACCCCTCCTGTTATGTGTTTTAGACAGGAATCTGATGCTGCCCTTTCTTCTCAAACAGCAACCTACCGCCATTCATAAACATACTAAAAAAAAACCATCAGTATTTAATGAACGTTACATGCCATTGCCTTCATGGTTATCCAGAGCTTATATACATACATATTCTGGCTAATGCCAGTTTCACAAGTAATATTACCAGTTTGCTGCTTTTATGAACCAGCCTAATGTACTACTAATGCATCGACATATAGCCTTTGCACTAAACGGACCCAGTTCTGTGAGGCTGTTTTCTGGAAGGGCCCATCAGGGACAAAACACTACAGAGCTGTAACCTGCTCACTCACGTTGGCCCACCGTATGACTTTTGCTTACCATGGCCACACTTTCTCCTTTAAAGGTAGCTGTGCAGACACAGTGAAAATAATGTTTAGAGCCTTTTGGATCCATAGTGTTATCTGCCCTGTTGACGTTTGCATTGGAAGAGGAAGGATCTATAGATGTATGTTTTCTGTGTTCATAATTAACTGTAAAACAGGCAGAGCCTGTGAGAAGGGATGGGAGACTGACAAGGTGCTCAGGACTTAGTTCGCCATGGATTTTGTGAAGAGGTGGGCATGGCTAGGATCCAATCCTGCAGGCAGGAATCTCCACGGACTTCTTCTTCTTTTTCTATAGACCCTGTGGGGGAAAGGAGTGGCTGGAGACCTAGAAATTACAAGTAAATCAACACTTTGTAATGGGTGGGGGCATTGTTATTAATATCAGGGCATGTCTTCTGTGGAGCTCAATTGTCTCAAGGTATGCACTACCGAGACAATACTTCTGATTGTACACGTTTGCTTGCTTGCCGTTATCAACGATCTTCTCCCAGTCTGCCCTGCCACTAGTATCCATTGCACCACCAGACTTCAGGAGGAATGCTGCCACCAGTGGCTGGTGCTGCAGCTCAGTAGTAGAGCAAATGCTCTGCACAGGGAAGGTCCAAGGCTTAATTCCTATCTGTCTCCAGTTAATGCTGGAAAAGCATTGACCAGAAACCCTGGTGAGCTACTGCCAGGCAGTGCCAGACAATATTGGTTAGGTGGCCTGACTCAGTATAAGTAAGCTTCCTCTCTGTTCCTAGAATTAGGGGGGCATTGTACATTTTAAAAAATTTCTTTGATAAACAAGCCATCAGCCTGCCATTCTGTGTATCGCAGCACAATGCATCCCAGAAACTGGCTTGATTTTGGGTTTGCTGGTTGCAACAAAATATTTGTAAGACAGTGACGGAGCTGCTCATTCAAAAGAAATACTACCTCCAGGACCAGCCACGTGGTTATTCTAAGCTATTCTTTCCAAGCAGTATCTGATTCTTAGTCTTTGTTCTGCAAATATTTCATGTAAAAATATTCATATTGCCATTTTCTGGGTGGTAGCTGCTTGTTGTCACTTGCTTGCTTGCTTGCTCCAAACGTACGTAGTTCACCTCATGTTGGGCTTCTCCGAGAGCTCAAGATAAGGCCAGAAAGTGTTTCTTGCTGGAAATTAATGCTGATGGTTGGCAAAGATTCTGTTCAACGGAGGGCCATGAAGAGGTCCGAAGTGTTAAACTTTAAAAAAAGGTTATACTTTGTTCTATCGATTTGTGCTCTTTGAAGTGATACAGGTGAGCACTGAGCAAACATTCCCATTCCTGACTGAGAAGATGGTGGATATTACGGAACTGTCTGACCAAAACACTGTGCTCCAGAAAGTTAGGAAGGGTGTCATTTGTGGTTCCTTATCAACTAGTTGGGCTCTACTGACTTAGTTATATGATGTACAGCATATGGATAGCTGTGGTCCAAATATTCCTGTTTCTGTCTTCCTCGCCTGACCCAACTTTTCTAAATCTGACAAGTCTGGTACAGTGGTGTAAAAAGGCTGTGACTATATTGGGAGAGGCTCAAGCAGTGAGGCAACAAGCTTTCACCTGAACTTGTTGCAGGTTTTCCACCAATGGCTTGAGCTTTGTGGCCCATTCCCACTTGTGTACCATAATTTGCCCACATTTTTATTCATTCTGGGCACATTTATTTCTTCTTTTCCTTGAAGCACTAGCTTGATTCTAATGAGCAAACCATGTAGAACATTTTTACTGCAGTGTTGCAGCAAAGTTGATGTGTCTACACGCAGTTGTGAGTAAATGGTTTGAATGAGTGGCTGTCCACAGAAACCATAACATTTGAGAGCACCATCCTTTAAAGGACTATGACACTTGAATCATACTTTGTTTTCACTATTAATAAAAAAAAATACCATCCCTTAAAAAAGGGAGGTGGGAGAAAATACAGTTAGCATTTGTCAGCACTCACCAAGACATAGTAGATGTTGACCAAACTGACTTCATAGAAGTTCCTGTTCTGTGTCAAATATTCATTAAAAGCACATTTTTCCTCCTTTGGGGGAATAGAATAGGCATTGTTTATGTATTAACTGTCCTAAATAATTCTGATGGATGTGAAGACTGTAATCCAGAAACTGAACAAGTGGAGTCCAGTCCAGACAGTTGTCCATTGCAGGCCTAGATGTGTGCCAGGCACCAAACAAAAGATGAAAGCCACTTGCACACTTGCCCTTATTTTTAGAGATTTTTGCAAGAGGATTTTGGCATATGGCATTTGTTCTGTATGCCACAGAAAAACGAATGAATCCACCTTCAGCTAAAAACATAAGAGCTATAAACTAAGGGAACAAAGTGCCTGGTGCCAAATTCAGATAACCCATATATAAGTCATGGCATTTTTCATATTATCGGTCTTGTCTTTTATGTAGGATCTGACATGCACTTCAGGTAATCTATGAGCAGACGACATTTCTTCCAGCAGCTCAGTTTCCATTAAAATGCTAAAGTCTATTCAAGTACATTACTGTAAACGCTACATTTATATTATATTGTCTGAATGTGACATTGGCTCTCTTGCAGTTTGTTCTAACAAGGAATGTTCTGTCAGGTAAAGAACTAAGCTAGCTAAATACCGCCAAACCTAAAGTATTTCATTTGTATATATTTCTTAGAACCCCTGCTTTTGTACCTTTTGTGGGTGCAAAGAAGGACAGGGGTAACACAGATGCTCTTTAATTCACAATTCCCCTGATTTACTTGTAGAGATATAAAGGACTGATGAATTACTGGGACAGGAAATAGAGATGGTGGAGGGAATGGGTTGCATGTGGACAGAAGAAAGGCAACTCGAGTATTAAACAGACACAAGAGCCAGATGAGGGACTTAATAGGAGTATCATGTACTCGTCCAGTTTCATAACTTGTGCCCTTTTTCTGGTTCTGGTTCATTTTAAGAGTGTTTGAGTAAAGTATGCATACAGGTTGAACTGCTTTTGGACCAGAATATTATTCATTCTGTTCAGGGTAGATAAAAATTAATATTTTTTTAAAAAGCAATTTAAATCAAATCACTGTTTTAATTTAAATCATCAGAAAAAAATCTGATTTCTTAAATTTAAATCATGATTTAAATCAATTTGGTTTAATTCAAATCCACCCTGATTTTGTTCACACAGCACAAAATGGGAAGCAAAGCACTGAGGCTAGATATGAGCCACAGTGATCTTCAGTTACATACAGTTAGTGTAAATTTCAAATAAAGAAGTATTACTGTCAGAAATTCTGTTCCATCATTACACTGTGCAGGGCTGATGATGTGAACCACACTGATTTTTTGGAAATAAAAAAAATCAAATTCCTCCCCCCATCCCACCCCAAAAGGCCTCGAGGATCCCATGGAATCCTCTTCATCTTGGGGGTCTTTTAGTTTCTGAAACAGCTGCTGCTGAAATGACTTTACTGAAGGGGATTCTGTGACAGCCTTGGGCCCTTTGGGGCAGGTAAGCAGGAAGAGGGATTGTTGGGGAGACAAAAAAACATATTTTTCAAAGAATTGGTGTTGTTAATGTCATCTGAACAGGATTTGACCCATGGTGTACTATATGTTGAAAATGAACTTCTGCAAAGGCAAGTAACAGATTATAGCCATACTAAAGGATCCATCCAATGTCATTGGATCTTTGTTCACACAACTTCCATTTCCTTTTTCCCTTCTTAATTCAATATGGAGGGTTCGTGGGCTTTCCAAAGCAGAGGGGAAGGGCAAGTCTTCTCTGCCACTGTCATCCATTCTAGTGGCAAAAAACCCATGGGATCCAGCCCTATTGTTACTGAATGTAATTAATTTCAGTGGGACCCAAGTCAAGACTAACTTGTTTCACCTATCACAGCACTGATGCAAGACCAACTGATTTAGTCTTAATCCAACCAACATACCTAGTGATTAAAAAGAAATATATGACTGGGGGAAACTTTATTCTTTCCCACTCACATGTTTTGTCAGGTTCCAAAATGGTGGTTAATACGTTCAAAAGCCAAAATAATCTTGCCATCCTTCAGGTATTAGAGGGTCACTGTGGGGGGTGATTATTTTCTACTGATCTGGGATTTTACCACAAAGTTTGGAAAGCCAGCAAGAGCATTCTCCAGACACAATGGTGTTGGGATCAGACTTAGATTATCCAGATTCTAAACAAACTCCAAGGGCGATTTTGGTCCAGTTGCTCCCAGCCTTACCTACATCACAGGATTAACGTGAAGATAAAATGGGCCAGTTACAGTGCACTGAGGTGACCAGGGGAAAGGTAGAATATAAGTGCAATCAAATGAGCACAGTAACACAGAAAAAACATATCCTACAGTGATTTGTAAAGGCTGACTTGTCCACATGCTGCTGCAACCATGACCTCACCAAGCTACACAAAGCACAAGAAGGGAGAAGGCAACATAGCAAAACACCACCCAAGGCAAGCATTCTACTGACTAGCCTTTAACAGCCAGCTAGGTTTTGCTTCCCTTTGATAGAAAGGGTAGATTCATCTAGACCCCATCCTTAATAAGTGCCCTATATATTATCTGACTGCATGAGACACTATCTCAGCTGCTTAGGCGCCAAGGTTTTATCACTTCAGCACTTTTGGCATCTGTTTTGTCAACTGCTCTGTATGTAGACTAAGAGGCCTTTTCACACTCTTTTTCTCTTAGAGGAGAATGCACTTTCAAAATATCTGCAATCCATCCCCAGGAGTCAATAGTAGAGAGAGCTGGTACTTCCACCCCACTTCATTAAGTGAACAGTGAAGACAGTGAATGACAGAGGCACGAAGGAGCCAGCAGTGAAACCCATTTGCATTATATTTAACAGGCGGATGTCTGTGCAGAAGACAACAGCTGAATAGACAAGGGGGCTATAAAATGACTAGTGCTTGAAGCTCATTAATACCATTGTAAACATGCATCTATTTTAAGAGGAATCAGGAAGTGCAAAGGCAGGCAGGTTATGACAGCTGTTTGGAGATGTTACCTCCTGATTAGAATGGATTCAGACTACAGTACCTTATATCCAGTTGCTGGAGCCAGGACTGAAGTGCACTTTTGCCAAGTAAAAACAGGCAACTACATTAAACAAGAGATTATCAAGAGATCATTATTTAATGCAGTACATCCATATACCTAACAGGGAATTAACGTTTCCCTGAAAATAAGACCTAACCTGAAAATAAGCCCTAGTATGATTTTTCAGGATGCTTGTAATATAAGCCCTACCCCAAAAATAAGCCCTAATTAAGTGAAACCCCGCCCTCCACCATTGTGCAGCAACCAGAAGAAGATGACATGACTGCATTTGAATAAATGTAGATTGTTGTACACACAAAAAATAAAACATCCCCTGAAAATAACCCAATGCGTTTTTTGGAGCAAAAATTAATATAAGACCCTGTCTTATTTTCAGGGAAAATAAGCCTGCAACCACCACCTCAGGCTGCTGTTGCAGTTTTCACACCTCCGAGCCCCTCCCCCAAGCTACTCACTCATTTTTGAAAAATATATACTATATAACAAATAGCATGCATATTAACTATTAGCACTGTAAATGATTCAAGAAAGCTAGATGAGAAAAACAAATATATGATTTGTATTCTCGAAGGCTTTCACACCTGGGATCAAATGGTTGTTGTAGGTTTTTCGGGCTGTCCTCTGAAGATGCCAGTCAGAGACTGGTGAAACATTAGGAAGAAAAACCTCCAGAACACAGCCAAAGAGCCTGAAAAGCCTACAACAAAGCAAAATTCAGTGGCAATGCTTCCAGAAGAGTGTATAAATGTGCTGTCATTGATAACCCCTTTCCAAAATGCAGAGGGCAGGTCACCAGGTGTTGTTACATTAACCTGAGAACAGAACAGGGATGCACCTTGCTTCCAGCATTTATTCACAATAGCAGGAAAAGTAGCTTTATCTGAACAATACCAGCTGAAGACTGCTCTCATGCTACAGCCCATCAATAAACCATCATTAACAAAAGAAACAAAGAACTCAAAGGAAGGTAGAAAGCTTTTGCCTTTAATGTACACTCAAATCATAGTTAAGAGCCTGTTATGCAAGGTAACATAATTCCCCCACCAAGGGTGTCGATTTTGTCAACCTATCTGTAGAATGGACAGGGTTGAACAGAGATAACCCCACAAAACAGGATTTGGTGTGAATATTAAGGAGCACAGTGGTCAGTGGTCTTCAGGATTCAGCTCAAGTTACATAAAGAATTCGTCAATGCACCTTAAAAAATGGAAAATTCAGACCTGTGACATTCATCCCACTCCCTTAAACACATGCTATCATTAGCTTTCCATTACTAGAACTCAGTAGTATATGCAAATAGTACATGCTATTAAATCAAACTGATTGTAAAACTGAAAACTTGTGCATGTTCTCATCAGTTTTTTAAATTCCCTGGTGGGTTTGAGGAAGCATTTTATGCTCTTTTCTAGCATAGGAAACATCCAAGTCAGACAACAATTGAAATTTATCTTAATTGATTCAATACGCTTGCACCTTTTTTCTTCACTGTGTTATTGGTTCCACCTTCTCCTGGGCCTGTTCAAATCAAACCTGCAAACTTAACAAAATGATGGTTAAAGCCGTGGCACTGACTGCGTATGATTTTGTTCAGCCATGATATCTTTGTGGCATCAGCTCAGGCTGCGGGTCTGAGATGTCCTTCTTTGTAACAATGTATTTCACACGATATAGCAAATGGAGCACTGTACAGCCATTATGGGACCAGGAGGAATGGAGGTGAAAGAGGAAGGGGAGAGAAGATACCCTGCATAAGTTTATGTGTCTCTGAAGATAGAAAGGAGACTGCTGCCTCCATTCAGCTTCATTAGCTAGATCCCTCCTTCTCTTTGCTCACAGCAGGAGTAGTTTCTAAATCTTTGCTCTGCTTTTCTTCTTCTTCTTCTTCTTCATCATCTTCTTGGGGGTACAAATCTGGGTACTTCTGCATACACTCTTGCATTGCACGAAAGTGGTCCACACAATCCGATCCTTTTATTTCTTCCTTGCTATAATGGAAACAGGAAAAAGCTGACTTGAATTGTTCCCCACAAGGACCACTAGCCATTCCGCCCAGGCAAGGACAGTTCCAGTTGATATCTCCATTTGGCAATATCAAACCTAGGAGAGAGGGAAAAAGTAAGCAAATTGTGGATAACGGGGATTTTAAAAAGACTATTAAATTCACTTCATTTGACTGAACTAGTTATGCTGCACGTCAAATATGTTCAGCAACAAGGCTATCATCTAATCTATATTTTTGCTGTTGAAATTACTACAGTTAATATCTGAAAATGTATACTACTGAATTCCAATATGACCATAACGAGAACAGGTAGTTTCTCAGCTAATTCCCTATTTTGTTTAAAGAAAAACCCACCATCACAATATTCTTTACTGTACAAATCAGCCAAAATTGGGNGGGGGTTACATTGAAATAGTTCTAACTCAAATGTTCAATTAAAATATGGGCTAGAGTTACAGTACTAGGCACAGTTATTGTTTTAGAATCATACAACTGGAATGCATACTGTGATAGGAGAGACATAAAACATGATTCACAAGAACAGCCCTGATATAAGTCCCACTGAAACAAAAGATTGTGCAAAAGAACCTGCGCCCCATGGATAGTGGGCCCCCAGAAAAATGGCAACCTCTCTGGCTCTTTGTGACAGAAAGATACAACTATGACTGAAGGAAATTTATAGTTCACTTCCTCTGCTCTTCTATAAAAACAACTGGAGTCATTAGGTGGGAGCAAATTTTACTTTACACAAATATATATTCAACCCTCCACATTGACTTAACAAAATGATTTTTCGCCCAGTTAAAGAGGGTCAGGAAGGGAAATCTTCCTCATTTATTTCTTAGTATTCATGGCCAGCAAACAATTCAACTTCAATCCTTTAGAACAGATGTGGGCAATCTCAGTGAGGCTGAAGGCATTTTGCAGATATGTCAGGAGATGGAGGGTTACATTCTTAAGAGGCAGAGCTGAAAAGGCTAGCTTGCATAAATAATTGTTTAGAATTATGCCTTCCAAAGAGGGTGGCAATGGGTTTCTGTTAACAGGAAAATAGGTTCAACTAAAACAGTTTTTTTTTCCAAAACTGAAAATCCCCCTTGCACACTAACAGTGCAAAAATGTTTTTATACTTTGGGGGACAAGGGTGTTTGGGGGCCTGTCAAAAATGGTAAAAGTTGTTCCCAGCACCCCAGAGGACACAAGGGGATGGGGGGCATATTTTTTTCCTTTTTGTTTTAAAAAATGGGGATATGTAAGGATCCTGGGAGGCCCTTGGGGTGGTGAGAGACTCCAAAAAATTGCTGTAGGCAAGAGAACCCATCTGTGGGCCACATGCAGTTTCTCTTTGCTTCAGAAGGCATTGCAGGAGGCTCAGATAAGGTGATCATAGCAACTCTAGACAAGCACAGATGACACTGTCTGGTCTACTGCACCCTGCTGTATTGCTCTTGGCCAGCAATACATCCTGCTTCAGTGTCCCTGAGTAAACACGACAAAACATCCCAATGACAAAGCATGCCAGCCTCAGTTAGAAATGATCAGTGAAAAAGAATGAAAGCACACATGAAATTTTTTGTACCAACACGAATTTGACCAAACTCCAGGAGGCAGTGGAAGACAGGAGGGCCTGGCATGCTCTGGTCCATGGAGTCACGAGGAGTCAGACACGACTTAACGACTAAACAACAAACAACCTATTTATAAATTAACTATTTGGGTCATAATGTAACTCATAAACTCATAACTCATTCACCTGGCGCCTTCACTGCAATATTTTAAGCAATTATTAAACAGATTTTTATTTAGTCTTCCCGGACTCTACTACACCTTGATGCAACAGCTAATGTTCAACCCCCACCATCTTTTCCTTAGTTTTATTTTAATGTTTTACTGATATTATTTTCATTCATCTCTATACTGTATTAATTTATACTACTCCTGTTATTGTATTGTTTTGGTTTATACTCTCATTTATTGTACTGTGTAAACTGCCGAGAGGGCCTGAATTGCCGGATGGATGGATGGATGGATGGATGGATGGATGGATGGATGGATGGATGGATGGATGGATGGATGGATCAATCAATCAATCAATCAATCAATCAATCAATCAGCTGAAGTCAAAATAAGGGCACAGCAAAGGAATCCAAATTCCAGAAAGAAAATCATTTAGAAATTACAGGGAAAGAAATACTGTAGAAATTTCCAGTTTTTGCAGGATGCTATAGCAGAGAAGTCCTCTAAGCCTATACCTGGTTAGGACTTGCTGACTATAGTAGTAACAGCTAGTTCCATTCTTGAATGGTTATAAGAATACTTTGTAATGGACAATAAATGTACTACATAGCCCTGATTGGAAACATTACTATGTTGGACTATATGTCCCAGAATTCCTCTGCCAGCATGGCCAGCTGGATGATTGTGGGAGATGTAGTCCAAAAAAAGTAAATTCTCAATGCACTGAGTTCACAATACAGAGGTAGCACATAGGAAACTCTGCTTGTAAATAGAAATACACGTTTCAGGCTCAGTGTAGGCTGTTCTTTTGGCTTAAATCACAGTTTGTAACTTTAACAATTAGATACGATCCTCAGCCTATGTTAAGCACTAGGCTTTTCACACAGGTTTTGCAACCACAGTTTAAGCTAGAAGGTACACACGGCACTCACTTCAGAGTGACTCAGCCCCCTGCATTTCCAGAGAAGCTCAAACTATATCCCCTCTTTAATCCCTTGTCCATTGTCCCGTCCTCTCCTCTGATAATAATCTTCATTCCCAGTGGGCTCAACTGACCTAGTTTCCACTCATTAGAGCAGGCATGGGCAACTTCCAGCCCTCCAGATGTCAACAGACTACAGTCCGCATCAGTTTTAGCCAGCCCAGCTAGTGGAGAAAGCTAATGGGAGTTGCTGCTCAACAACAGAAGAGCCCCAAGTTACCCATTATTGCAACAAAGGTTGGTGCAAACTGTTGCTATCCATCACTTTTTCCATTTGTTTACTTTTAAAAAGACCTTCTAATCTAATTAGAAGCAATTAGAATAAGCTAGCAAGTGCTCTCAAATTAGGATGGCTTGCAAGGAAGGCTAACTCACCACGCAGTGCTGTGGCTCAGCTACGGTAAGGAAGCATCAGGGGAAAGCAATGCTGTATGTAAGTTAAACATCTGTACAAGTGCAGCAAAAGACAAGGAGGATATTTGTCCCTTTTTCACCTTCTGTTAGAAAATAATGCTTAAGTAAACAAACAATAATTTTTTAAAAGGCATGCATACAAAGCCAGCAGACGTAGAGCTAATCAATTTACTGCACTGAGTATTACATATATATGACCACCAGCATGCTGGACAGAAATTGTGAGGGTGTAACTCAGTGTAATGAGCTCCTGTTTCCGCAGGAAGAACTTTATTCCTTAAAACCAAGACTGCAGGCAAACTAGGAAGACATCTGGGTGAATGAGACCTTCAGGATTGTCCTTTGTTGTAATATCACAGTTCTTCTGCTCTCACAAGGCATTCTGATTTCAGAAAAGGAGGGCATCATTAGAATTAAGAGGATCCCTTAGAACGGACCCATTTTTGGTGGGCAAACATATCTTTTGAGCCAAAGTTCTAACTCAGGAGGAGGGCTGTGGAACAAGGAGATTCAGGCACTGAAATACTTATAGCTATGTCTCATACACATGTAGTTCCTGCTTAGCATGAAAACTGTATCATGCATCGTCTAGGGAGCTTGACAGAGAATGCTGGGATGGAATCAGTGGTCATGCCACACAATGCCACCAATGACATGGGTAATTGTGCACCTGAAGTCTCTAAAGCCAATTTTACATAATAAGACAGAAAGCTGAAAGCCAGGATCTCCAAAGTAGCTTTCTCTGAAATGCATTACAAAGGGCCAGTTGGACACTTGAAACATGGAGTCTCAATGTTTCAGTAACGTGGTTTAGATTTAGTGTAGAGAAGGGGTTAGATTGGTTAATCATGAAGGAATATTTTCGGATAAGATGGCCTGTACAAAAGCGATGAATCACAACTGAACCAGAATGGCACCAAATTGCTGGTGCATAAAAACATTTAAAAGGGGGCAAAACAGCTTTGGACATGAAATCTGGGGAGATGCCAACAGCATCTGGGAAGCATCCTATTGCCAGAGTTTGGTGGTAGAACTCATGCTTTGCATACAAAATGTAACAGGTTTAATCCTTGGGATTGTGTGGCACAGCTAGGAAAGAATCATACCTCAAACCTTGGAGGGCTGCTACTAAGTGGAATTAACAAAAATAGGATAGAAGACACAATGGTCTAACTCAGTACAAGGCTGTTTTCTATGTTATTCTGGTGTTGAATCCTTTGTGAATGAAGATGAAAGTACTTTCAGCTGACCAAATGGGGACAAGCTGGGAACTGGCCATGAAGATGTGGTGAAGCATAACAGCCAGACAAGAGGACACAGAGGCCAAAGAGAAAATCCATTTGGCAGAGAGGTGGAAATGAGTAACAGTTGTAGGTTTTTCTAGTTCATGCTAAAAGACTTAAAACAGGAGAGTTAGCTTGGTTTAAACAGAAAATATACATAATGTGTTCATAATAGAAACCTGGCAGAATTGAGAGAACCAACCAGTAGGATACAGTCATCTCAGGATACAAACTCTGCAGGAAGGAGAAGAAAGGTAGTATTGTTTATGGCAAACTGTCAAAAAAAATCTCTGCAGCAAAGATCTTTGCATGCTGAGATCAGGCTCAGAGAGCATCATACACAGGAGACATTCAACAGCATGGTGCAGATAAAGCTGTTTCTGTGTGACAGTGCTGCCCCCTAGAGTTTATAACCAAATACAAATTCTTCATTTCTATTCTAAAGCAAGGAAAGTCAACTCTCCAGATTCGGAATTTACACAGACTTGGCTGCAAGACTGCTGAACACTGCTTAAACATTAAGGTCCCCATACTATTCACAATACATTTTTATAAACCAATGAGGAAATTTCCCACTAGTTTTTCTGAGAAACTGACAATTTTTGCATTTTTAGAAGTATTTGGTTGCTGTCCTCTGAAGATGCCAGCCACAGAGACTGGCAAAACGTTAGGAAGAACAACCTTCAGAACACGGCCTAACAGCCCGAAAAACCCACAACAACCATTAGATCCCGGCCACGAAAGCCTTCGCAAATAAATTAATTTTGGTTACTGCTTCTAGCAATCCACACTAGAAACTGAAGTTTTATATATCTGGTGCAAACAATTGCTAAATGAAGTTCTTCAACTCTGTCACAGCAAACCTCTTCCATAAATCAAGGAAACTTTTGAACTTCCCATAAAACAAACAAGGTCACACATTTCTCTTGCCCCAGGCCAACAAGAAGACAATCTAGAAAACAAAAGCAGGCTGTCAACATGAGGCCTTCAGGCTTAGCCAAGGTATTCATGAAGACAGAAGTTGAGAAGGAACTGGTATTTCTGTTCGAAAATATGCAAGAACACATGTCAACGTCTCTGTAAATTCCACTGATTCCATGGGCCTACTCTAGTTGTGACCAGCTACTGGGTTTCAGCCAGTATGTTGTTCCATACAGAATCCACATAGGTCCAGTGTCCCAACTGCTGTAAAATGGAGCATCAGAGAAGAGGCAGTAAAAATGAAAGCATTTTAAAATTAAAGTGTGCAGGGGAATACACATTTTAAAAGGAAACTGTGCAACCAGAAACCTCCAGAAAGTAGACTTCTTCATTAGAGCAAGACCAGTGCTCTCTGTGCTATATTAAGGCCCCCCCCTTTTTTTGCCTAGATACTAATCCAGTGCCGCCAACTGGCTACAGCAAAGGCTTAAGCAGCCAACTTCCCTAGTTCTGCTTCCCAAGATCCCTTTAGAACAGTGGTTCCACCTTGCGTCTCCAGATGTACTTGGACTACAACTCCCAGAAATCCTGCCCAGAAGAGCAACTGGTGAAACCACGAAGCATGTTGCTTAGTTCATATTTTTGTCAAAGCAGATTACCCTTTTAATATAGACAATGTGAGACAGAAAAGACAAAAGTCTGGAGAATACACGGAGGTACAGTTGCTGAGCCATATCTTACAAAATACTATATATATACTTGGATGCAATAAAAGAATGCTAATTAACAGTTATAATTTATCACGGGACATATGACAGTGGATCAGTACTCGTCTAGCTGTACCTACCGTATTTGCCGGCATACAAGGCGACCGGCCATATGAGACAAAACCCCCCCCCCTTACAGAAGAAGCTGGGCGGGTGGCAGCAGGAGGAGGAGGAGGAGGAAAAGGGAAAAGGGGCGGGTGGCGGGCGAGCAAGCGCGCTGGCTCAGCAGCGAGAGGGCAAGGAAGAGGGCAAGAGGCTGAGCGGGCAGCGGCAGGAGGAGAAGGAGGAGGAGGAAAAGGGAAACGGGCGG